AAGACCATATGATATGTGTAGAGAAATATGAATGAGTTGCATAGCAGCAGTGAGACATGTAAGACATTATACAAGTCATATGAGCTATTACATGAGACATATCATGAGACATTATACAAGACATATGAGCTATTACATGAGACATAAGAGATTTGAGATTTTGCATGAGACATATCATGAGACTTTAACTAAGTAAGAAGCACCTTCAATCTCTAAAGAACTTTAGAGTGTTTTAAAACTGGTACCTACAGTTCATGATGCTTCAAGTCAAAACTTCATTGTTTGATAAGAAACAAAGTCACGTGACATCTACACACTTACCTGTTGTTCTAATGGAATTATCTACTTACTTATACTGGAAATAATAAAACAACTTCAGGCCTATCACAGTGTTATGAAGTAGCAATAAAAGTAATTATGAGTTTTGCTGCGACGACATGATGCAAATGGAAAGGTACAGGGGTCCCCATAACATAAGAAACTGTAACAAAAATATATTGTAAGTGAGGGGATAGGGAAATCACCATAATACCTAAGTGCTCCTTATATTTATATTGGCCAAATTCCTTTTAACCATTAGCTTGATAATTTTCCAATGACATTTGCCTATCTTAAAATCTGCTGGACACCACAAGTGATCTGCTTACCAGTTCTCATCCAGGCATCCTTAGTGTCTTATTCAGTATCTCTTGCCTGAGTTACTGCTCTTTGCACAAGTTCTTTGCCTGAGTCACCGGTCTTTGCACAACTTCTTTACCTGAGTCACCGGTCTTTGCACAAGTTCTTTATCTGAGTCACCGGTCTTTGCACAAGTTCTTTGCCTGAGTCACTGGTTTTTGCACAAGTTCTTTTAAGTCTTTACGATCTTGTGACATGGCAGTACGACCCGATCTTGCACTTTTTTGATGAAAAACAAAAAAGTTCGTTAACAGACCCAGCAACATTTATTAAATACTGAATATTTTGCAAAGCGTTTTTGTGGTAATCGGAACATTGAAACTACGCGAAGTGAAATGTAAAAAAAAAAAATCTTTAAAGCTCTGTGGGTTTTTTTTTCACTTGCGTAAATTTTAAACTGCAGTTTTATTTCAAACACGTATGTCCTTACACCTTCACTAAACTTTGGTTGTACTATAAGGTCTCACAGTCTGGGTAGATGATCACTTCTTATTTTTGGCTAAATCTTAAAACTTAAGTCTTAAAATGAAAGGGATAGCACTCATGTAAAATAGAAAAGCACACGAGAAAAAAATGGTGTATTGATTTTGATCTAGCCAGACTGGAATGATTTCCTCAGAGGTGTGAATCAATAAATTCTCTGGTGAGGCAACAGATGGTGTGAATTGATTGTCTGCCAACAGATCTCCAGTAGTCATTACAACAAAACAAAACAAACACATTTCAAAAAGCTCTTAGCATTCATTATTTCTGTAAACCACTAGATCTGACTTAAATCTATTGTTAGAAATGACATACAAAGTAGGCAATACGAAGCAAACATTTTTTTTGGTTTGTTTCAATTATTCTGCTAGAGCAACTATGATAATACGAAATAAGATACAGGTTTAAAATTGTTTAAAAAATATATAACACTGAATACATTCTATTACTCTCCGAATCAATTTTGGCGTTAACGGTAAACCTAGGCCTAAGCCAGTGTTTCCTAAACTTTTTCCTTAACGGAACACTTCGTACATTCTGAGTATTTAGCAGAACACTTTATTACTTAGAAAGATTAATTTCACGTGGCAGCCTACAAGCTAATTATTCCACTAATTCGTGTAACACCTAGGGTTTCATTAAACACAGTTTGAGTAATTGCGTTTGGGCATCCAGCTACTTTGTTGTTATTTTGTTCTATGGAAATATTTAATGATATAAAGCTGGCTTTGAAAGTATGAATATATTTGTATACCATCTTGTATTGTGTTCTCCTGTTCCCCCTCCAAACCATGCGATTCATAGGGCAGATAATGTACCCGTTAAGGTCATCTGTTTCTTTGGCCAACGGTTAACGAACAGGATGTCATGTGGTCGGTACAAAGTCCAACCTCCTTTACTTTCCCCCAACTAATGTGGACTCTGGTGCGCCCTGTATTCCATTATTCACCATCCCAGTCTTCACTGAGATTTTAACCCAGGCCCATTCAGCCAATTCCCCCCCCCCCCCCTTTGTATTGTATGGTGAATAATAATTAGCAAGTCTAGATGGTCTAGTGAGACAGTGTAGTCTAGTCCAGTGTAGCCAGGGGGTTAAGGGTTAAAAAGTTACCGAAACATGGTCTAACGAATAAGGAAAATAATGTAATGTAAAACAACTTGAACCCTAGAACCATACACAAAGTCATCCGGATATAAATTCATGATAATAAAGATTGAATAATGATTCCCCACGGTGAAAAAACAACTACTTAACACAGCACACAGAACTTAACCTTTGAACTCTAACATTGTATTGAACTCTTGACATGAATGAATAATTTTCTTTATTTGTATTCTAAGCTCGGTTCCAGCTTCCAGAACTCTCCAGTGTTCAAGACTCTCCAGGATTCATCGATCAAAAGTAGAAATAAATAAATATTATAATAATAAATATTATTTTCATCGGCATTCCTTAACGTTCGTCGATATAACCCGAACTATATGGAAGGCGGCAGTGGCGTAGCTAGGGATTTGGGGGCCTCTGCATTTTGACATTCGACAAATGAGATAATGTACTTAATAAATATATAAGTTAATATACAATTCAGGTTACTTCCTGAATGTAACCCCTCACGGGAAGAGTTAATCTGTGAGGAATACATGCAAGAGTGTCACTATCTTGGACACTTGTTTGGCCCCCCCCCCCTCAAGGGTGCCTGGGAAGACTTATATTTTGACACACCCCCTCCCACCACCCTGGCTAGGCCACTGGAAAGAGGTCACATCTTATGTCGAGATGCTATGATAGGCCTACTAAATAACTTGCTGGTTAGCATTGAAAAGAAAATACATTTGAATACATGGGAACTAGTAGGCTATACATTTGATTTTAATATAATAATCAGTGGTGCTTTTTTTCTGACGGTACGCACCGGAACGGCGTACCGGCACCTTTTTCAATGAGGGGAAAAATTATTACTTTTCTTGTATTTTATTAACATTTATTATTAATTTATTAGTAGTTAAAATTAGGTCATCTATCACTGAGTACAGGCAACTATTTGTTAACACTAAAAAGCACTGATAACAATTATCTGGTTAATAAAATTCGTGGGTGGGGAAATGTCTTCATTTACAGCTACTTCCATTTACATCTTTATGTACAGGAACTTCCATTCACATAGTCTTTCTTACTGGGTAGGTTAATGTCACGTGGTTTAAGCGTTAAAGTCTCAAGAGAAGTGTAAACAGGAAGTGTACTTATACATTGACTTTTCGAAGATTCAGGATTCTACACAGAATAAAAAAAATTGATTTCGTAAGAGAAATTCCGTTTTTTATTTTCAACTAAGCAAGTATCTCCTGCATACTTTAGACATTGGGTTATTAGATTTAACTCCTAGAAATATCAAGACGTAGTAACCACCCAATGCCATGGTGACAGCTAACAATAATCAAAGTTCAGAGGCGGCGAACATCAAGAAAGTAGAAGGAAGTTTGTGAGGGTTGAAATGCTCATCTTGGCAGATTTTTTAAAAGCTTTTTGCACTAGCAGTTTCAAATTAGTTTTAGACAACCTCTGAAGATGTTTAACTCAGTTTGTTTTTAACTCAGACATGTTTGTTTGTTGTTGTTGTTTTTTATCTGACAGGCTTTTGTTTTTAAAGATAGCATCCAAAATAAGTATTGTTTATACATCAAAATAAAAATCTCCAGTTTAAAAAAAAAAAATAGATAGGTGTCACCTAACATAAAGCAGCTGTTGCATTAAGTTTATTTTTAGTTTTCTGCAAGCGTCTGTAGAGCAGGGTAAAGATTAATTGTCGATGGGTTCTAGGAACAATCCTGTTTTCTTGGAACAGAAGCGTGGGCAAGTTAATTCCATAAAAGGAAATTTAGTGGGGCTAAAGGAGTTTGGTTTCGAAAAAGAGAGAGAGGTTCATTAATAAAAAAAATGTAAGGACGGGGAAAGTCAATGGTAGTTATGAGCGTGAACGAAGGCAGTTCACTTATTTAATTGTAGTGTACAGTGTGTGTATTTCATTCAAGTGATTCCTAGTTTCAGAATTAAAGCTTTGCTTTCATTGTTGACTGATCTTCATTGTTTGAATTAAAAGTTTACATTTGAATCTCCGGCATAACGATATTCCTTGAGTGTTCAGTCATTGTTTAAAGTAGAAATCTACACTAAATTATAACATCAGAAGAAACGCATTGTCTGATCAACCCAATCTCATCCTAACATCAAGACCACATTTGAAACTCAAAAATTATCTTTGCAATAGGATACAAAAACTTTATAAGACTGTTACGACACAAAACTCTTGAAAATAGTAGATCACAAATAAACATACTCTCAAGTTAGAAATACTTGAATGAATAGTATCACAAATGACGTAAACATGCTAGTTTGACCCATATCTTCCGGCTTCCAATTTTTTAACCACTTTTCCATTCAATTACTACGTTCGCACCATTTGTCATTCACACCATGCTGTGCTACGACCGTAACAAAGACCAACCCTTTTTTTACGTTTATTATAGATAATAGCATCATTTGTATTTAAACATCAATACACTTTCTGTTAATTTAACATGTGGTAGAAGTATGTTGTTTTTTTCTTTCATACAAAACACTTATTATGGAGAGTCTATAGAGACTGACATAGTAGAATAAATAATTAGTTTTTTTTTCAAAAAAATAATGGTATTCATTGGTTTATTTAAAAACAGCTCGCGCACAGTTTATATAGAAAGTGAGGGCTGATGCAAGAGACTACACACGCTCAGTTTCAAAAGAACGTGAGGGCTGATGCAAGAGACTACACACGCACAGTTTCAAAAGAACGTGAGGGCTGATGCAAGAGACTACACACGCTCAGTTTCAAAAGAACGTGAGGGCTGATGCAAGAAACTACACACGCACATTTTCAAAAGAAAGTGAGGGCTGATGCAAGAGACTACACACGCTCAGTTTCAAAAGAACGTGAGGGCTGATGCAAGAGACTACACACGCTCAGTTTCAAAAGAAAGTGAGGGCTGATGCAAGAGACGTATGCATAGTTTTTGGTGATAGCCAAAAGATTTAAATGAGTTAAGTGAAAGCCTGGTCGTGCGAGATGCGCTATGGTCTGTCCCCTATGGTTACTATAGTCCCGGGTTTGAACCATCCCAGCCTTCATCTAACGCCGTCCTGCGAGTGTTTTGAGGTTAGGATATAATTATCTTCAAATCTGAAGGAACATTTAAAAATTGTAAAAAAAAAAATCTATAGATACTTGTGAATAAAAAAAATGAGTTCTATTTTGTTGTAAAGAAATATTCTAAAATTCCAAGCTATTATTTAAATGTGTGTATCACGTTCAAACCTACCTCTACAGAGAAGACTGACTAACTGTATTATGTCAAAACTTACTCAACGATTTTTGTGTGTTCCTTCTAGATCTATATATATATATATATATATATGACAACTACATGTACACATACACATTTTGTTTACAATAATAGGTCTCCCATGGGATGGCTAATGTTGCATCTCTTCGATCTCCAAAATACATAGTCAGACTCAAAGTATACAAGCAAGGGACTTTTTATCTTGAATAAACTTTTTATCATGAATAAATAAACAAATTTCGAAACATGCAACACTTACATCATTGGACATAAAGATATTTTTTAAAAATTGCATGTATTTATAAAATAAATATGAAAACAAAATAATTAATACAGTAATGGCCATCTTAGATCTAGTGCATACACTTAAGTTATGGTTCTTGACTATTGTTTTTCTTTATGCCATCTGTTTGTATGAGTTCTGTTCCTTGATCCTGATTAATTTCCTTGTGATGACGTAACCTATAACAATACTGACCGCAAAGAAACTGAGAATGGAGGCGACAGTTAGTGGCACAAGTATCTCCTCGCCTGGACCGTAATGGTCAGTCTTTAAACAATAGTCTATACCTGAAAGGTAGACAATGGGACAACACAGTAACATCTGGTGACAATGTTGTTAGTAACTTAATTCTATCACATTTTTTCAGTGTAACTGTTAAAAGTTCATTTTAACAACAAGGCATTCAAGTAATCAACAAACCAAGCTACTTCGAGATACAAACACAAAATACTAAAAAAAAAGTTGAAAGAGATAATATTAACATAGGCTTTTGTCCTAACAAATTTCGGAAAGTTTTTTGTTTATTTTTATAACTAAACCGCCTGTGTTCTCATTAATTCAATTTTAATCATATTTCTGAGAAATCTTCAATTGACAAAAGAAAATGTTTGATTTATTCCATCATTACATCTGTTATATAATTTCGCACCACTCTTTGTACTGTGATAATATACAAAGTTAAGGTTCAAAACCTGACGAAGATTAGTTTCATAGCTCGTTGCCTCGTCGTACAGACTTGTGACGTGCTAACGAGCTATTGGTCTCCGCTGCCCATAGATTGCGATGCTGCAGTTCAGTGTTCAGGCCTTCAATAACGATCGACTTGAGCCCTGCCATCTGTTACTTCCTGTCATTCGCTACTTCCTGTCATTCGCTACTTCCTGTCATTCGTTATGTAATGCCATTCGCTACTTCCTGTCATTAGCTACTCACTGCAGTTCGCTACTTTTCTATCATTCGCTACTTCCTGTCATTCGCTACTTCCTGCTATTCACTACTTCCTGCCATTCGCTACTTCCAGTCATTCGCTACGTAATGCCATTCGCTACTTCCTGCCATTCACTACTTCCTTTCATTAGCTACTTCCTGTCATTTGGTACTTCCTGCCATTCGCTAAATCCTGCCATTCGCTACTTTCTGCCATTCGCTACTTCCTGTCATTCGCTACTTCCTGCCATTCGCTACTTCCTGCCATTCACTACTTCCTGTAATTAGCTACTTCCTGTAATTACCTATTTCCTGTAATCATTTACTTCCTGTCATTTGATACTTCCTGCCATTCGCTACTTCCTACCATTCGCTACTTCCTACCATTCGCTACGTAATGTCATTAGCTACGTAATGCCATTCGCTACTTCCTGCCATTTACTACTTCCTGTAATTAGCTACTTCCTGCCATTCGCTACTTCCTGCAATTCGCTACTTCCTATCATTCGCTACTTCCTATCATTCGCTACTTCCTATCATTCGCTACGTAACCCCATTCACTACTTCATGCCATTCGCTACTTCATGCCATTCGCTACTTCCTATCATTTGCTACTTCCTGTCTATAGCTACTTCCTGTCATTTGATACATCCTGCTATTAGCTACTTCCTGCCATTCACTAATTTCTGTCATGAGCTACTTCCTGTCATTCGCTACGTAATGCCATTCGCTACTTCCTGCCATTCACTACTTCCTGTAATTAGCTACTTCCTGTCATTTGGTACTTCCTGCCATTCGCTAAATCCTGCCATTCGCTACTTTCTGCCATTCGCTACTTCCTGTCATTCGCTACTTCCTGCCATTCGCTACTTCCTGCCATTCACTACTTCCTGTAATTAGCTACTTCCTGTAATTACCTATTTCCTGTAATCATTTACTTCCTGTCATTTGATACTTCCTGCCATTCGCTACTTCCTACCATTCGCTACTTCCTACCATTCGCTACGTAATGTCATTAGCTACGTAATGCCATTCGCTACTTCCTGCCATTTACTACTTCCTGTAATTAGCTACTTCCTGCCATTCGCTACTTCCTGCAATTCGCTACTTCCTATCATTCGCTACTTCCTATCATTCGCTACTTCCTATCATTCGCTACGTAACCCCATTCACTACTTCATGCCATTCGCTACTTCATGCCATTCGCTACTTCCTATCATTTGCTACTTCCTGTCTATAGCTACTTCCTGTCATTTGATACATCCTGCTATTAGCTACTTCCTGCCATTCACTAATTTCTGTCATGAGCTACTTCCTGTCATTCGCTACTTCCTGCCATTCGCTACTTCCTGCCATTCACTACTTCCTGTAATTAGCTACTTCCTGTCATTAGCTACTTCCTGTCATTTAAAACTTCCTGCCATTCGCTACTTCATGCCATTCGCTACTTCCTGTCATTCGCTACTTCATTTTAGTCTGTTTTAAACAATCAATTGTTCCCTCTAGTCTAGTCGCTTTATAATTGACATTGCCAATTTGTTGTTTAAACAGAAATCAATATATTTTAATAATAAGGAACATGTGCGACTCCATGAGAGGAGATGGGGCCAGCCCATCATTCACTTGTGAAACAATAAGCAACGTGTTGTTGGTTTCTCTGTGTGCTGAATGTTGTTTGTTTTCCAAATGTATTCTGTTCAAACGTGCACGCAAGCGCACACATAGGACCACGAAAGGGAAAGTAGCGGGTAATCTTAGTTTTGAAGTTTCTTGTATGCTTTAAGGAGGATTCAAATTTATTTTATTTAGTACAATGAAACTATGGGACATCCATGATGCATCTCAGTATTTATTAAACCCCGCCCAACCCCATGTGCATATACCATTTTGTCCCCGTCGAAGAAGAGGTGGGAAGTGGTGGCACTGGATAGATCCACACGGATAGTGAACATAAAGGAAGGGTCCCGGATTGCAGATGCCATACACAACAGTAGTAGAAAGAAGGGTGAAAATGCAACGGCGCCTGGTGATTACTGATGACCTGTGACCGTATCTTTAGTCACACAAGAAGTTGCAAAGGGAAAAGATCGTCTCTCGAGAAGTACAATGCCACACTTATGGTGATTATTCATAACACGAGGTTTGATTTAAAAACAACTTTTGCACCGTCCACACACAAACACATACACAACGACCTTGAAATGCAATATGTCTAGGTCCTGGTCATGCCGTTTATAAGTCATGATATTATATGCTAGTGCTATTTTTAGGGGCCCTGAGCTATAGCTAATGGTAACTCCAGCCCTGGTCCTGGTAATTGCTTAAAAAGGAGGGGGGGGGGAGAAATAGTTGGGTATTGAACCCACACAAGCTGTTATATCTTTAAAGTGGCTATCAGAAGAGGACAAAATCATAGTGTGTGCTCTCCTGATAAGGGAAGAAAATAAAAGTTTCACCTTACCTTCGGGATACTTCCGTGATGTCACCCCAAAAGCGGCGATGTTGACATTGTGGAAGGTGAGCTTGACTCCTCGATCTATGCTGCCCAGTTGGACATCGATGTCCTGGTCACACGCGTGAGTGTTGCCCACCTGGGTTCCAAACAGAGACAAGCGCTGCCTGTCCACCGTCACAGTCTCTTCTGGACAGAAAACATTTCAAGTTATAAAATTTTCAGGTCATAAGGACAAAGGTTCGATCAACATACGTTCTGCCTTAAGATTTAATGGCTATACTACTTGTCCAATGGGAGTCAACCCTGAGGCTGTGACTCTTAAGCAGCTTTCTGCACACAGTGCTACACTCGGGCAGAACCTGCAGCGTCGCTGATCCCAAACTGTATCGTCGGTTCTCGCCGTTAGTAAGACTAAAGAAGTCCAACGAGTACTTGTCAGTCTACGGGGAGATAAACGATGGCCAATACAAAAAAGTATCAAGGATTAAGTTTTCCCTTTTGGGATGTGGAATCAACTACTTCATAAATGTTAAACAAAATGGACTTGAGATCGCTTCTTTTGGAGTGGCATTGTGGGTTTGAGATTTCTGGTTTTAAAGTAAGAGAAATGTTGAGAGCGATGCAAACAAAACAACAAGAAGGTGAAAATAGCAACAAAAACAAAAAAAACAACCAAATTTAATTGGGTTCAAAGGTTGCAAATCATTCATCTTTACATCCATGGAAAAGGAGGACATGTTGAATTTCTTGTACATCTTATGATCATCTTAATGGGGAAAAGTAATTTTAAAGAAATAATAAAAACCCTTTTAGCCTTTTTTGATCTTCGGGGCAGATGTTTCTATGGCCGGCATTTAACGAGAGTGTAATATGGCCAGCACAACAGCACAGCACATTAAAACATGTTGTAAATAATATATGAAACAAAACATGTAAAGTCTATAAAACACATGCCAAACATTTAAAACAGTACATGTACGACTTGCACAAGTAAAACCGTGGTCTTCGCTGAGGAAAACTTACTTGTAGTTGATGCTTTGAAAATGTCTGTATTTGAAAGGTTATAGGTCACGGAAATAGACGTTAGTGACCAGGTGGAGTTCTCGCCCTTGATTTCGGACACCTTGAAAAAAAAAGAAGAAAGAACACTTGCCATAATTGTAATATGATCTTATGGCATCTGATGTAGATCTAGAACTTTCTAGATGAGATGGC